CGGTTACCATTTCATTTTAACCCATTAAAAAAAAATACTACACCAGTTTTACGCACACATACCTACATGACACTTATCTCTGTGTACGCTCGTTTATCTCATAACTTGCCTTCGTTAACATTTTATCGAGTCTGAGGTGTGTTAATAATCAAGTGCATACCTAGCGGAAAATTGTTAAATTACCGCTTTTTCTCAGTATTAGTTAATTCGTGTTACATTTAGGTGGGAAGTTCGCGTGTGGCGTCCACCGGAGCGTTAACGATGAGTACCAGGGTCGGATAAGATAGTAGCTAATGTCCGACGCAGTTGTGTATCGCCCCTGTCAGTGCATTATACAAACATATATAGATATTATATAAATAAATAAAATAAAGGGGCTCTAGCCCAAGTTTAGTTATAATAACGCTGGTTTATAACCTGCAACTCTATCTGAAAAATATAAACTTATAAAAGGACCGAATAGTTTACAAAACAAAAGAACTTACTAAGCACAAGCGTTTCTAGTAATATCATGTAATTAATTGATAAAAATTAAGTTACATCAACAAATCAGTTATTAGCTAACTGTTCATTTTTGACATTGAGTAAATGAAACCTGCACCAATGCCAGTATATAATTGAACTTCGAACGAACTATCTTCTTTAAAATTGGCATCATTAGCACCGTTTAGTAAAACAGACTAGTGTAACTGAAACTTTTTTTCCAGATAAATATGTGTCAAAAAAATTGGGAGACAAAAATAAAATAAAAAATGCATGCTTTATTTGCAATTTTTAACACCTAAAGATTGGCAACGCATAAGAGGTAAATCTTTCTAGAGATTTTTTTTTTACACAACTTAGAATGGCAAACAAGCTGACGGCCTACCTGATGGAAAGTGGTAACCATCGCATATAGACATAAGCAGTACCATGGACATAACAGAGTATACTGTTTCGCCCATGATACCCCCCATGCGTTACCATTCCTGAGGACTCAGATGTTATTCCTCTGTACCCTGTAAATTCACGCCATATCCCACCCTTCAAACCGAAACACAGCCATACAAACACAACTGCTTCACGGTAGAAACACGAATGGGACAGAGGTACCCAAGCAATCGACTTTTGTACAAAGTCTCCCTCTGGTAGATAGGTTCGCTTCCTAGTTTAATTAACTATTTTATTCTATTTCTGTCATTCAAGTATGTAAATATTAATGCCCTATTTAGCATTAGTGCATTAGTAGGTAAACTTATTTATAACAGTCTTAAATATCCACTTATTATTCCACATTCCTCTTTAAAATAATGCCCTACCTTCCCATCAGATAGCAAAAACACTGTTTCTAGAAACTATAAATTTTGCAATTAAGTTCCGTACGTAAACTAGGCATTAGAATGTTTTTTTGGAAGCACCCATGTCTCACGGGAATAGGAGATAACGGGTTCTGGATGGGCGAAGTCGCGGAATTTCTTACTAGCTATACATTTTCAAGCTAACAAATGTCAGAAACAATGATCCTAGAAATTGATATACTCTACGTAATTATATGAAGTACGTACATAATTACATATACGATTATATACGAGTAATAAATGAGACAGGTCATCTAAACTAATTAGGTAAAATCAATATTTTTTTCCTTTTTTAGACCTCAACAACATCTAATTGAATTAATTAATTATTTTGTAATTTGTACCTACAACAGCGTTCTCTAATTACTGTATAATTTATATGAAAAAACCGTGACAAAGTACTAGCACTTAATAAATAACGAGGAGTCATTAAATCGTCGGCTGAATAAAAAATTGCGTTTCTAGATCAATCACAGGATAAAAAAAAACTCGCGGGACCTAAAGAAATTACAAGGATAATAATCTGTTGTCGCACAAAATGTTATAGTATTAATCAGTGAGTGTGACCGAGGTGTCTCCCTATCATAATAATATAGCTGCAGGTCATGGTACGTAGCCGCAAGCGGCTAACGTTCCTAACTAGGTAGACACCTATATGATTTTGTATAATTATTTCATAGTTTAACAACGGAAGTCTTTTGTAACGTAGTTGTTCTTTAGTGTGTGAAATATACAACAAAGCAAAATAGTCAATAAGACGGGAAGTAGGTATACAGTGGACACCAATTACAGAGAACCTAATAGATATAAAATGCAAGCTTCAGCCAATAGTTAATGTAAAATATAGTAACTGTCATAATACAAACGGTTCTGTGGACATTATGTGCCTAGCATTTACTATTTTCGTGCTAGCTGTTCAATCGCTTCAATCTATAAAGTTTTCTTAATGCTAAGGTAGGATATTATAATCTATCCGTTCATTCAAATTCGTTTTGCATGAAACAGTGGCAAACATGCAGTATTCCAAATATCTTTATCAGCTTTCACATCAATAATAGTAGTAGATAATAGAATAGTAAGATAATTAAATTACTTAGTAGAAATAATTATTCACAGATACTGATCTATACTTATACCTACCTGCACAACTTTATTTGAAACTAGAAAAAAATATTTAATGTGCCCATACTAAATTTCATAACGATTAATATTCGACAAGAGATCTATAATATAGATGAAACGTCGAAAGTAAAAAAAACATTCAGGTGAGCGGTTGGTTGACATGTCATTTATCACATACTGACATAGTTATACAAATTTTCAATCTATTGCCAAGAAGTAAGTGTATAAAAATAAAAAGAAAATAACAATTTGTGTAATTAAGCTACTAATTACACATTTACAAGCGCGCCATCTACATAAATAAAAATCAATTGCCTAAACGACAAAGATGAGACGTTGTATCACATGTATTTATGGTGGATTCATTAGGGCGCCAAGAAGAAACATACCTACTCACTTTCACATTATAAACTTGAACGCTACAAAACATTCTCATCACGTGATAAAACTCAATAATAACAGAGATAAACTCAACAAACAATATCTACTGAATACTGTATACGAATAAACGATAACGCTCGCACATCTCAAATTCTCATGACTTCTTCGATGTACAAATTAATCGTTAGAAACAACTCAGCAGCGTATCGAGACACGTTTTTGCTATACCCGTATAATGACGTGCTAACTATAATTTCCGTGTAAATTCAATTGTTCGATGCACTGACATGGCAAATTGCTCGATAAACGACTCTTTGATCCTTGCTTTCACATGTTTTTGCTATGAGGCATAAGCGAGGTCCCATTCACAGACGACAAACTTAACGAATAAGTAAAAAACATAGTATCAATACTAAATAATATATTATCTATTTGATGACTAAATGAAATCTTATATACTTGGCGAAAAATGCCTTAATGATTTTTGTATTAAATAAATAAATCACTGCAACTTTATTCAGACTCTTATTTACCTAACGTCAAGTGCCATCATCAAGTGTTAAATTCCAGGTGTATTCATCAAGATGTGCTAATTGGTCTGCCTTTTCATTCTCACCTATCATCCCTCACTGGTGTCCCGCCAGCATATACCGTTATCGTAGGCGGAGTTACTTTTAGTTAATTAGTTAGTAATTATTATTTATTAAAAAAAAATCCTTTTCACATAGGCGCTTCTCAAATGGATGACATTTTTTCTGGATTAAAAATTGAATAGTAAATGACCAGTTAGTGATAAAGATATATGAGAAAGAAGTCAGGTTTGTATTATTTTTTTTAATTGGAATGGTAACTCCGCCTGCGCAATCGGTATACGCTAACGGAGCAACAGTTAGGGATTATAGGTGAAATATCAACAAGAATTAACCACGAGTTTCTAAAGGTATCCGCATGTAGGTAGACCTGATAGGATATATTGCTATCATTAGACCCCATTACTGACAATCCGTTCCCCCTCCCCCTCCATTTAATAGTAAAAATTAACTGAGATGCTTTTCACGGAAAACCAGAGCATGGAGGTCGGCCTTACAGGTTTATTCTTATTATGATTATATCAGCCGATAATTGTCCACTGCTGAACAGGGTACATTCCTAATAATTTTTACAGTGATAATTATTTCTTGTCAGAGAATAACTACCTATTATTGCTAGTCTTTTTATTCACCTTAAAAGTATGGAAATTAAAAATCGGAAAAAATATTTACTAACTTAACGCCAGATATGTCACTGTCAGTACAACTTTGACATAACATGTGACGTTAACAGTTTAGTCTTTTCTCGAAGTTACTTATTGTTGCTACTTTAGCCGTTTTAACCAGATCTAATAAAAAATATCGATAAATAAATAAATCGTCTTACCACTTTTGTAGCAAATTACAATAAATATTTCTATATGTTTTGACGACCAATCTCTTCGTAACTATTTCGCAAGCACGACAGAGAATAGACTTCATGACTTTGCATTATGTTTTTTATATATTGTTTACTCACCCTACAATGTACTGCAAATACAAGATCGTACGTAATTATTACTTTTTTAGTTCATATGATTAAAAATGTAAATAAATTATAAACCGAATAACTTCGACAATCGGCTACGGTCAATAAATACAAATAACTACTTCAATAGGGATTATAAGAGGGAAAGGGATTGTTAGCAATGGAGTATGACAGCCCCATTGCTAGCAATATGCTCTATTAGGTCAACCTTCACGTGGTTCCCCCTGGAAACCATCGTGAACAATTCTTGTTAAATTCGTCACGATGTGTTAACTGACCTACCTCATCTTCACCTATCATTTTTACTGGTGCCCCGCTTGTGTATGCCGTTAGCGCGGGTGGGGACACTATTCCATTATCACCCATTAAAAAAAATAGGCATTATAAATGTGAGCCTATTTATAAATTACATATATAAAATAATTAAATTACTTATTTGTATAAAATTATAATAATCATTATAAAATAATGTATTTAATATATACTTGCCAACCACTTTTTATTATATATTTCTATAGGCATATAAGTCCTTAAATATGGCCTGTATTAATACTATTTAGCTACTAAATCTTTAGCACTGATGGCAACACTCATTATCTGATATGTCACTAGTGTCATCTTTATATTTCAAAACTTTATCATTTATTTTATTACAAAAACTATTTTTAAAATCTAGTCTATAAAAAAACTAGGTAGTTATAAAGTATTTTTGCGTATCTACACGTACGTTCATCTACGAGGCTTCAATATTTCGTGAAAATACAGTGTAATTGCTTGGTAAAGTGTCATTGTTTTCTATTGTTGATAACAGTTAAGTAAAACCGCGGGAATTTCTACATTCATCAAAATACTGATATAAAGTTGATAACTGAAAGAAAATACACTATGTCTACTTACGAAATATCTGACGATGAAGACACTTTTGAAGAAGCTCTTAATTCCAATCAATATATATCTGAAAGCTCAATTATGATAAGCAGTGACGATAATTCAATGGACGCCTCAAATCTCAAGGACAGTGATAGTTCTGATTGTGAAGTTAATCACCCGAACGTGAACTTAAAAAAAACGAGATCCGCTGTTATCAAGAGATTATTTCCATTTAGTACAAATAAAAACAATTTAAAAAATGATGTGAATAATGGTAATGTTCAGAAGGTAGCTCATATGAACCCTCCAAAACATGTAGATGATATTAAAAATGCAGCTTCTGTGTCTAAACCATTTATACCTGTGGAAAAAACACCTGGAGTTAATAAAATGATTGGAGGAGTTTTAGTGAACATGCCGGTCGAACCCTATGGATGTCAGTTAGCTTTAATGTCCAAGGTATGGTATTAATATACTGAAGTTTTTTCTTCTTGATTACTATTTTTTTAGAATATATTCAAAAGTCTGCAGTTTAAGCTAGAATCACACACACATTGAACCAATAATATCTAAAATAATATAGAGCTCTTCATATTATTGATTGAATAAATATAATTAAAAATTATAAATAAATAAACGATTAATTAATTTTGTTTTAATATGAGAAGTTTCAATCTTTACAATATATTAGCTTGTTTGCCATTAGTATGCCATAAGTATCATAAAACATAATGTTAGAGTAAATTTTAATATTTAATATGATTTAAACATTATTATGAACATATCGACACTGGAAATTATGTATTTATGAGACAATAATGTAAAGCCTTTTTAATGTTTCAGTTTTTTTTTCTAGAAAGGTCTTTTGGCATTAGTCATTTTCTTCTACAAGTAATAAATAAATCTATTATTAAAATTGCTTTGGTTTATGCTTACTTAAAAGAAAACAAGACACTATATGTTGTATATTCTATCTCATTAATGGGTAGTTTAAGACAAATCAATAAATATTTATACAGAATGCAACTAAGCTTTATCAGATAGTTTTGTGTTCTTTAATTTTTAGGTGATAACAGCTATTAAGACAAGTCAAAACTGTCTACTGGAGAGTCCAACTGGCACAGGAAAGACACTAGCATTGTTGTGTAGCGCTTTAGCCTGGCAGAGATCAGAGAAAAGTAAGTCATAATTCACTGTAATTTAATTAATTTTCTTTATTACTCTTACTATGCTTATCCTTTTTACATTTGTCTTATACTTATGTAAATTGTTATTTTAGTACCGAGATATTGTTGCAACTATATCTAGGCAATTTATATAAATGTTGTAAGTTTTAACTATAATCTGCTTACTTACCATAAAATTTGTCTGAAATTTCAGATCTGAATGAAACATGAACTTAATATTAATGCATGAAATAAAATACTCGAGGTATAATTTTGGTTATTCAGACTGATCCAAACACCTTGTATTAGAGTATTGAAAAAATATTACTCACCGTCTGTGGAATTGATTTCAGTATGATTGTGTCACATTACACATATGAAATTTCAAAACTTGGATGATATTTCATGGTAGACCCTCAATTGTCATGTAAATTGCAATTAATGTTTGTACCAGTGTTTAAGAGATTGAACCACATAGGTATTTATTAAGACCTGTTGAAGTCAGCTGAACTAAGGATACTTTAAACTGTTGATACATCACAGTAGTATGGCTTGTGCTATAATTCCCATCTAAATAGCCTGCTGAAATGCTGTTTCATACCTCAGGCTATTCGGAGATTTTCAAAAAGAAGAAACAGAGAAAAGGTATTCTTAATAATGGGATAAAAGGTATTCTTAATAATAGCTCCATCGCAAGCATGTCAACCTCCATATCATTTCCCCTGAAAACCATCGTAGTTAATTCTTGAGGATATATTGATCTCTGAAATATCCCACCTTTCTAACCAAAACAACCATGGCAGTTCAGCTGCATGACAACAGGGGTCTACTATGAAATGAAATTGATCCTATATATGAAACTTAACATTTTTCGTCATAAATCCTACCATAACAGTCGAAAGGAACGATATATTAATATTTTTAACGGTATGTATTCTGTAATGTTAATATCAAATTTATGTTTGATTCGGCTCAGAAATTTCGGAAAGTATAATATGGTAGGCCCTCTCAGATATATACGAGTGAAATAAAGGTAAGAAACAAAGTGTCCTGCAATGTTCTCAAGTCACTCGTGTAATGGCCCTTGACTGACTCTTAGTTCTATAATTATACTTATCAGATAGAAGTCACGCTAATATTTCCCATTTGAAATTATATTAAACTTACAGTAAAGGCTGTTTGAGCATAACAAGTAGAAAGCGCCAATTGATCACAAGTGTTCGCGTGATGCGTACCTACTTATAAATCATACAAGACTGTCGCCCGACAAGGCAACAGCCTAACACGAAAATTGCGCTTCACCGATACAGAATGCATTTATTGCATGCAATGCGCTCCATTTGATATGTACGAAGCTGATATTTGTTGAAATTTTCAACAACTACCCTTTGAAGACTGCAAGTTTTGAAATCAATATTTGCATAATCATTTTAGCAAATGGTGACAAACTTTTTAAATGTCCTGCTATAATAATATCATGTAGTAATTGTTTGGCTGTTTTGATAAATAATTAAAATGGCTTAACAGGTGTCGAGATTTTCTAAAGAGTTGGTATTAATAATACAAGCCTATTTAAAAAGCTTGTATATTTTACCAAAATCAATATTAATAGATGAAAATATACAAAGATATGCAAAGTATTCTTTATCGCTCACCTATTTTTGTCTCCAAGCTGCTTTTTTGATGTACTATGTTCCGATTTTGAGGGATGAGATAGCAGACAAATTCATTGACACTGTGATTGTTAAGAAAAACATATTAGGACAGTCAAAAACATCCAAGTGATTCCTCTGGTATCAACAGACAGATACAGTTTGACTGGTTGAAAAATCACTCACTATCATTTCCAGTCTCGCTGTTAAAGAAAGTTTCGATAAAAACTCAACAGTTTTGAAAATTTTTGCTTGCAAATTTTATGCCCCATATAGAGTACGACAAAAACACAGCACTTGCAATTTTCACATACAAATCTATGAACTTTATCCAGACAACATTTTAATACGAGTTTACACCGAAACTTGTGCCCACTCGAGCATAAGACGGCCTGTAAAATATTTCGTCACGAACGAGTTCGCCAACTCGATAAATTATGGCACTACTCCGCCAATTCGGAATATTCGAAACTCATCGAATTTCGCAATATAGTCGATGCGAACTTCATTCGTCATAAAGACATGGCGCAATTAAGGATATTGATTGTGTACAATTGTGCAAGCGATCAGTGATCACGTGCCTAAGTCATTAATCTACTAGATTAATGTTTTTTGCCAGGCATTTTTTTTATACCACTGAGGTGGCAAACAAGCATACGGCCCACCTGATGTTAAGTGGTTACCGCAGCCTATGAACACCTGCAATACCAGAGGTATTACGCGTGCGTAGCCGACCCTGAAGAAACCTCTTTACCCCCCTTTTGAACAACCCCATGCTGTAGTCTCTTGGGAAAACCTCGGCAGGGAGCTTATTCCACACCTTTGAAACCTAAACCAAAAAATTACTAGATTCTAATAATTTATTGGTTATTAGCCAAAATCATAAATTGTTCTCAATAAAAAATTTTGAATGTGTGATCACAATAATCTTAATTTTAGAAGCTCTGAATGTTAATGAAAATTGTAAGGATTTCATGGTACGGAAAGTACAAAATTAATCCAATAAATTACTACTGTGAATATATACGTTTTATGCAACCTGGAATAAATAATAAACAAGTTAATAAAAAGTGGTAACAGTTGCCTATATACATGATTAGCACTATGAACATACATTAAAATGCCCATGGGGCATTAAGACTAACATGTTATATCTGTAATCTTACTGCTATATCCTACCCATCAAACCGAAACAACCATACAAAGCACGCCTATTTTGCGGCAGAAATATTATTAGGATCGAGTTTAGTTAGTCTAAGTTAATCAGTTAAATACATAATTATCGCATTCAAAATGTTTTATAATTGTTCAGTACTATCAATTATCAGTAACTAAACTGATTATAATACAAAACAATTTTATTAATAATTCTACTATATAATGGCTCATTACAAATTACATTTTTTCCTCTTTATTGCTAAGAAACAAATTATTGACAATTATAAATTTCTTGATACTTACTAAACATTACCGTTACAATGCTAGAATGTTTACTATTTAAAAAAGGGGGATTTCGATAATTCCTACCGGATAAAAATAACGGGTTGGCGTGGACAAATTCGTAGAAATCGACTAGCTGCTGTTAATAATTGTATATGTAACTGTATATGGTAACCATGCACTTGGACTTTTTTCAATAAAAACATAAATTGACTTGCCACCTGTCGCAACCGCTATCTGGAAGTGGCTGTTGTAATTGCTAATCATTCGCCATGGTTGATGATTAAAGACACTCGGTTGCACCTTACCAAGACCTAGTTCGTTTAACAATTGATATACATTTGTTTCTTGATGAAGTAGGAACCAGCTTTTTGTAGGCTTTATAAAGAACCGAGTGCCAATAGCTCATATGTCTCTTGAACATTTAATCCAACAACAATAAATATGTTAATCGTATTCATATTCAATATTTTTTATACAATATTAGCGGGTTACGTTTGTAATACGCTATTTAAAATGTTGTTACACAAAAACCAATCTAAGTTGTTACAAAATTATTAAGAGACCACCAAAGGAATAACCCTATCATCTGTAAAAAGAATTATCAAAATAGATTCAGAATTGGTGAAGATATTGCACGATATCTCATCATCTCACACAAAAATTGTCAAATTGAGTTCTTTTTTAATTCCGCAAGTAAAACGATGGCAACTATCTATTACATACATGATAGCTCAATCGTACCATAGATAAAGGAATACTTAGAACTTTTCCTTGTTCTATGACTGATTCCTTCAGTAATCGTTACAACCATATATGTAAATGCAATTATTAAAATACTGAAATAAAATTTTCTTTATTAAATATCAAACAAAAAACAGACGAAACTTAATCTACCGTACAAATATAAAACTACAAAAGAAACTGTCAAGTCGGCTGTAGTATCTAATTACAGTTCACCAAACTTTGGTGACTTTTTAAATCCCGACGACGTTTGGTGAGAAACGACGACCGCTAACCATATGGTTTTGGCATCTAGCGTTTTGGCCCGCAGCGTTTTTGATCACGAAAATTTCGCGCCCAATTTTCTTCGTGTCAACCATTTTGACGTCTCAATCGCGGGAATATTCAGCTCGCTAACTTGCAATCAGAAACTCACGGAATAGAACTAACGAATGTTCAGTCGGATCAATATTTTCTTAAACAAAAACGACAAGTTATAAATGACACTTCTTTCTTATTTGAACTATTATTAATTTGTTATTCTTTCCAAGTTAGTAGTAATTATTAAAAACTAGCTACTTTGGAAATCAAATAAATAAATTACATCTAAATGGTGTAACCATAGAAAAACCATATACCAGATTTGAAAATAGGCCTTCAGGAATACAATTATGAAAATAGTATCCAATTTAGTGCATAATTCCGGAACAAACATACAGACAGACAAAATTTCCTATTTTTTTTATGTATCTATTAGTCTTATTAATTTTCTTAGACAAGTCCCATATACAGGCATCGTCTAATTACAATTTTACTATATTTGCAAGTTGTTTACAAGGCACTTTCTTCTACGCACAACCACACTTTAGAATCAACTTCCGGGAGCAGTATTGGCGAACCGATATGCCAACTCAACCTTCAAGAAAAGAGTATATTCCTTTTTAAAAGGCCGGCAGCACACCTGCAATCCCGTTGGTGTTGTAATTAATTGTAATTAATTTTATATTTAAATATTAGACTATATATATGTACACGTTGATAAGTACATAATTACGAGTATTTATAATAATTATTGAACTTCATGTTATTATTAGCCGTTTTCCGCGGTTTTGTCCGCGTGAATCAGTAAATATATATCTGTTAAATTAGGAAATAACCTACCCATGTATCTAATTTAATTCAAATACGTTCTGCCGT